AAATCTTTGTTCGTGTTCGGCTCGTTAACTTAGCGAACGTGCCGAACACGAGTTGTTCGCAAATAACAAGCCTTTTTGACAGCCCTAGTATTGCATGCCTTATTTTCGCTACCATTTATACTTTAATAAATATCAGTTATTTATTAAGTTTGATTTTCAAACTCACCCTTTTATATTTGTATACAACATGATCTATTCAGGCAGTCGTAGGACCATCTCTATCGGAGCAGACTTTCCAGATTTAGATTTTTTTTTGTTGATATTTTTTAGTTTCATATGAGTTATTGTATATTCTCTTTAAATTGGGTGGTTGTTTTCTTATTTTCATTTTAGTTTATTCAGTTGTATGGGTTGTATCTCTATTTATACAATTAAAATTTGAGTTTGTTATTATTTTTTTATATTATTAATTGCATATTTTTTCTCTTTAGAATACAAAACAGATTCAGCTCTTTCGTCATGTCTTATGTTGTTGGGGTGTATCGTCTTCTAGACCCGGGGTGTGACATCTCATAACAGAACTAATTCGTTGTGCTCGTAACAGAACACCAAACAACTACACTAGTGTAAAAATCACAAAGAAAATTCAATACACAATTATAAAAATAAAGTAACACAAAAATACTTGGTAACATAAAAAAAATATGAAGCTTTTTGAGTTTTTGTATTTAACACAAAAAAATAACTAATTAATGTGGTGTAAACCACGACACAATTAAGTCTAAATCATAATGGCTCAACTAAAATTCTCTAAAAAATGAATTTAAAAAACTTCATATGTGTTAAATATGTCAAATACCGACAACCACGAAAGTATGTGTATTAAACAAGTAATATACGGATTGCAATTGTGCATATCAATCTCATAGATAACAAGTTAATTATCATTTTCAAGAAAAGTTCTATTATTTTGATTTTTAGTTTAGCCCGAATTATTCGAATAAATGGTGTCTTAATAAAGTTTCAGTCTCTAATTTTTGCGGAAAAAAAAGTGAAAAAGTTAGGTTACTCTCTTCAAAATTTCTGCGGTTCTCTATATGTCGAAAGATTCTCTCATAAATTAAATATTAGAAATTTTGGTTTAACTAAACAATCAAAATATGAGCGACAACCAGGAACAAAACTCGTCCTTGTCCCTTCTCAAGCGTCTACGAGAGTTTGGAAATCAAACAAATTTGGTCTCGTAAATCAAATGATTATCCAAGGATCTGTATTTCCGTACACGATCACTCTTCCTATAAGTAATATCTATATTCTCTAAAGTTAATTCAAGTTAACCTAATTTGTTGCACTAGCTCGCTTCCGCACTACTAGATCACGATATATTTTAATGTAACAATTCATTAGATTGAAAGTCAATGAAGTACATAAGATAAACCAATCACATCTATGAAATTTCAATTGAGTCACATTATACTCATTAAACACATAATTTCTAGCCTACCAATTCTTAGAAATAATAAGGAATACAATCACCACACATGTTTTGAGTCAAAAAAATCAATGTTTTATTAAACAAATGATAGGAAATAGATAACTTAGAATGAAAGTGTTGATTAAATGCACTGTTCCCATTGAATTTTTCTTCGTTCTTCTCACGAGAAAATCACATACACTGAATTACAATGCCACATAACTCTTCTCACACAACCTCATCAATCCCTCCCACTATTTCACACGCTTAGAGCACTAGAGATCATTGGCAAAGACAACAAGTGATGGGGGAAATTCTGAAATTGAGGCCGTGTAAGTGTGGTAGATCTCACCAACCTGTTTCTTATGTCATATTTTCTTCAAACAACATGATGAAATTAATCTCGCACATGTGAGTGCCTATCAGCCTCAAAAGGGTCGTCTGAGTGTCTGGTACTGTAGATTCGAGCACCTAAGCACCCATGACTAGTACATAGGCGCCAGGTTCCCTGTATCAAGGCGCCTGGATCACTAGGACGCCAAAGCGCCAAGCTCTCTCGACCTAGGCGCATGGGTGCCGAACTTTTTAAACAATCTTTTGCTTTTTGTTCCCCAAGTTTATCCTTTGCTTCCCGAGTTACTGCTTTCCTCTCAAAATTCTAATTAGCTGTATCCCACATAAACAATCTGAATACCAAGGATAAGCATAAAAATAACTCAATATATATATATATATATATATAT